GGAGATCTTTTCTAAAGGTTAAAAAGTCATTCAATTGTATGTCTTACAGGGTTTATACTGAGTACAATATTGTATAACTGTAATAATTCAACTGTAAACCTAAAAATTTACAGCCAAATTTGAAAGAGATGCATCTTAGCTCAGGAAATTGTTATTGAATATGTCAATGCTGTTGTAATGAACTGCTCCTTCTAAGTATGTGGTTATTAAATAAATAATTAAAATATAGATATATATATAGAGGATATATATGAGTGCATAAGTTTTGTTGAAGGCTTCTTAACAAACACTCCTGTGCCAGGCATAGAGAACCTCTCTTCTACTTATTAACCAAAGCAGTCCAAAAGATTGCCAAAATAATATGGACTATTCCCATAGCCCTTGACTGCCTCTGGGAGTTGAAGGCAAGTTACTATTCTTGAAGATGCCATACACTATGAACACAGGACTTGGAAAAATGTATCCTGAACTGAACTGAAGACTCGCTCTCATAGTATAAGAAGCTGCTGTAAAGTGTTTGTGCAGGATAGCTTCACTTGTCACCTTGACACACCTGGGTAGAAGAAATCTCCATTGAGGAATTGTTTCCACTGAATTGGCCTGTGGCAATGTCTCTGGACATTTTCTTGATTGGTGAGTGATGTGGGAGGGCCTAGCCCACTTTGTGTGGTGTCATCCCTGGGAAGGTGGTCCTGTACTGTATAAGAAAGCAGGCTGAGCATGGGCCAGGAGATCAAGTCAGAAAGCAGCACTCCTCCATGGTCTGTGTTCCAGGCTCCTGCTCTGAGTTCTTGCCTTGGCTTCCCTTGGTGTTGAACTGTGCTGTAGGGAAAATAAACTCTTTCCTAACCAAGTTGATTTTGGTCAATATTTCTGTCGCAGCAATTGTAAACAAACTACAATAGTGTACAAGGGTGAAAAATCAATCAATGATCTTAATCTGCAAAACTTACATAGGCTATGAAGCCTATGAACCACACCAAAGACCAGTCCATCTAAAATACCCATATGTGGTACAAGTGGCATTTTTATCTTGGTGGTAATCCACTGCCATTTAATTGGACTTAAGGTCTGTGCCATAGGAGAAAATCAGTACTGCAAAGAGATCCAATTACCTATGGTTGAAGAGATCATACACCCTTGTGGAGAACCTACTATTGCCACTTTCTTAAAGCAATCTAATTTATTTCTATATTCTAAATAGTTATCCTTATATTCATAACCACCTGTAGCTTTTGCCACTCATCAAAGAAGCTTCTTTTTGCAACAGATGTAGAGTATTCAAAAGTTTCAGTACTTATCCAAATACATAGAATAAGCAACTTTACAGTGCCTACACATAATTGATACATCTACAATGTATCTCCAATGTAAGGCTCAAAGAACATCATGGAAGAGGAGGAGGAAAGACTATAAAGGCCAGAAAAATCATGGCACTTGCTGCTAGATACTGTATTCTAGTCATGATAGGAAAACTGCACCTGTGAAATCTAAGCAATATGGGTTCCAATAAAAGGACTATATAATGATACTACTTGACATGCCAAAGTACATGGGGAAAATTTCACACAATCCCAACCGTAGATGAACAGTTACACGTAATAAATGGCTGCTGAAAGAGGGAGGGATAGTTTATTCTAGAGTCAAATTCCTGGATAAGTTACCCAATCCCAAGTAGCCAACCTTAAACACTCATACACATAACACGGTATTTGTATGAAGTACAGCTTGTTCATCTTTTTAACACTATTATTGTTTTATCATGTTCATTATTAAGTCTCAATTAAATTATTCACATTCCATACATTAGAGGGAACTAAGTGAAATTTCCTTAACAAAAATTATCAATGCCTTTTTACTTCCTTGCATGATTTAGTAATGTGATGGTTACTCTGAAGATAAATCAACTGACATTTAAGACCTTTCTTACTTTGGCTCAATTCTGTTTAATAAATTTAGATTTTTTTCTAGAGGACATTTAGTGAAGTGAAACAAATTATGTCAGAAAAGACAAACTCCACAAGGTCTTGTTTATATTTGTTAGAAACATACAGTTTAATGGTGGTAATCAGAAGGTAGGTGTGGAAAGAGATGGAGGAGATATAGGTCAAATGCTACAGAGTTCAGTAAAATAGGTTGAAAACATTTAAGAAATTTATTGTACAACATATTGATTACATATAATGACAATGTGCTTTAAAACAGCTGAGAGTGTGGATTTTAACTGATTTCACCACAATGATAATAACATGGGGTGATCTGTGTTAGTTATACAATTTAGAACAGTATCCATGCCAAATTATACGCTCCTCCTGGAATGAGCATGAGACATAAAGTGTTTCTTTTTGCTTGTGGCTACTTTTTTCTCCTCTTTAGTTGGCAAACATCTGTTATTAGTACTAAATCATAACCAGCTGCTAATTTATCTGGGATGAGTATAAATCTTTTAATTTAGGTCATGAAATGTTAGTGTACAGTACTAGCTTCACTAGCTTGGATCAAAATATGCATATTAACATATATTATTTGGTCTAGTTATTTGCCAAAAATACTGTGTGAGTCATTTGACTTTAGGGTTAATGAGGCCATCATGTATCCTTTTATTTTCTTCAACATTTTTCTTTTTCTTACTTCCTTTTTTGAGACAGGGTCTTTCTGTAGGTCCAGATGACCTAGAACTCACTATGTATTGAAGGCTGACTTCAACCTCACAGAGATTTTCCCTCCTCTGCCACCTGAGTGCTGGAATTAGAGGCCTACACCTCCACTCCTCTCACTCCTGGCTTTTTTTTTTTTTTTCTTGAGGGGAACAATTACAAACAATCCCAATCTTTTCTGCCAAAAGAATGACCACAGAAATGTAACCCTTTGTAATGCTATTTTGTAGTGTCCCACACCTTTAAAACTTTTATTATGAGAATTTCAGAGTATTTAATCTCTTTCACCTTGCAAAACATTCATTTATGTAAATGCCCTGCTGCAACCAGGAAACTGATGGCCAGGAGAGGCCAAGCTTTCCTTATTCCTTCACCTCCTTTGCAATGATTCTTTTAAATCTAGACAATCATAAAATACTGTGAGGTCAGATCACATCCAAAGGAGGAAAAACAAAACTTTTGCATTAGGATAAACCCATCATGTTTCCCATTCAATGTGGTTGCTTGCTACCAGAATGAGGTAAAACACCCTTTTTCAAAAGTAAAAACTGCTATGCTGAGTTACTTTTATTTTGTTCCTCTGCCTTTTGTGTGGTATTTGTGGGGTCTTGAACCTCAGATTTTATTTCTAACATTCTTTATATTCTGGAGATTGAACTCGCGTTTGTGGAAACAGAGAAACATTCTACCACCTAGAGTGGTAATACATCTCTGATTCTTAAGTTCTTTGAAATACAATCTCACTTTATAGTTCAAGTTGGCCTCAACTTACAAATCTTCAACACTTGAGAATCTATATTTCCAGCGTTTACTAGTGTGATCTACAACTTATGACTCTACGTCACTTTCTTAAGCCTATGTATATATGTTGGGGTGGAATGATAGTAGCAAGTAATGATATGAATCATAATTTGAAGAAAACAATGAATAAAACATTATTCACTTATGAAGATGAAACAGAATATATACATGTTATATATATATATAAAAAACTAATGTATGTATATATTAGTTACTTTTTGTTGATGTGATATAATACTATGACCAAGTCTGCTATGGATCCATATGGATTGATGATAAAAGAAATATGGCAATAGGCTCCCAGAGCATAAATCAGAGTTTACATTTTCAACAACAAACATGAAGCAGAGAAAGTGAACTGGATACGGTATAAAGCTGTAAACATTCAAAGCCTGCCCTTACTTCCTCCAACAAGATTACCCATATGAAAGATTGCATGACCTTCTGTCAAAACCAGTGCCACCAACAGGGGACCAAGTGTTTAAATACCTGAGCCTGTGGAGAACATTTTTCATTGAAACCACCACATTCCACTCCCTGACCCATAGGTTCATGGACATCTCATGTTGGAAAATGCTTGTAGCCCTACTTCAAAAGGCCCCATAGTCTTTAACCACTTCAAAACTGTTCAAAAATCCAAAATTATTTCTGAGATTCACAGAAACCTCTTAACTTGGACACATGTAAAATCAAAACTCAAATTATTTATTTGAAACATAAAATGCCAAACAATATATAACCCCATTCCAAAATAGAGAAATGGAGCATAGTGAAGAAATACTGGGCCAAAGCAAAATGACACACAATAGGGAAAACACAAACTTCTGTAACTTTATGTCTAATATCTGACACTATAGTTTCAAAGGGCTTAAGATGGTTCTACCCCTTTAACCTTCTACAGGAAACATATGTCTCTCCCATTTCTCACCTAGACTGGTTCCATTTCATGTATGCAGCTCACCTTTGCAGATGTTTCATTACTGTAGCATTTCCAAGATCTTGGGTATCTACGATAACCCAGGGTTCACATTCATATCTTTGTGCAATGGTCTCTCCCAGCCTAGTAGATAATGCTTTGATACACATTGTCTGTCCTCAGAGCAATCTGAACCCACAGAGGAAGAATACATGACATTGCCAATCTTTCATCAAAACCAGTATCTTGGAAACCAGAACCATATGTACCACACTGCCAAGTTTGACTGTCAACTAGGAATGGATCCTTGCTCCCTGTAGCAAATTTTGTATGCCGTTGTTTTCTTAGAAGCAGATTTCTTAGTTTTTTTCCTTTCACAATGGGGAAGTTTGGCCATATGGGATCTTGCCTTGAGAGCAATCTCCCTCTTTTTAATGTCTCTAATCGACTTAACAATTACCACTTTTATTTCAGTCTAGGGATCTAACATTAAGCTTCCTAGTGTTCTTTTTCACTATAAAGTGTACATTTTATATTTCTTTTCCACGACTTTTTCTTTTTCTTTGTAGACCTGCATAGAGGTTTTTAGTCATTATCAAACAATAGATTTAACATTATGCTGTCTTGAACTTTCCTCCACTAAGATACCGTGATCATGAAAGTGGTTTTCTCAGGGCAAGGCTTACAATTGCACTCCATATGTATTGACCCCTGTAATTTCCCCAAATGTGGGAAACTCAATTGCATAATTTGTGGTTGTGGGGGACAGTGTTCATGCTCTCCCCTGATACACAATTTAAAATCATTTCCCCCAAAAAACCGACTATGACCAGATAGTTTTTCTTAGTAAGTTCTAGCTGTCAAGAAGTATTATTTCTTTCTTGCAGAAACTGTTCAGAAACAATTTTTCAGAAAAATTTTTATAGAAAAATAAAGACTAACATAATCATTAAAGGCCATGTAACTTTGTGTTTAAAGCAGGCAAGGATAATATAAGAAAACAAAATCAAATTACAAATTACTCATTGACCTGGCTCAGAATGCAAAGCAGAATTTACATCCTTGATATTTAAGAGACAAACTCTACTTGTCTTAAGTCATCTATGCTTTAAAAATGATTTTAATCCTATCCTTTATCCTACTGCTAATGAAAAAACTCAACTTTAAAAAGAATGACAGGAAAATTACCACAGAAAGTTCTACACTAAGGCCTATAAATCTTCTGCCAGTGGAGATTTAACCAGATTTACAGTGCCAGTCAGGAACTCAGTGCTCTGGAGCATGTTTCAAATCTGATCAAAACAGATTAGTTGCCCTATGAGTCATATCACTATTGCTCCAATGGCCACATCTTTCCAGGCAAATCAACATTGCAGCATGCAAAGTCTAGCACTAGGTAAGAACAGGGATGCATTTTTCTCACTGTGTAGCCTGCAGAGCAGTTCCAGCACTGTTAAAGCTAGCCAGTAGGGAAGACGCTTCCTGTTTTTTATGAGGTTGATTTCTCTATGTCCCATGCCAAAATGTGTGTCTTCAGTAGTAAGGTATTACCATGTAGTTAAGCAAGGGCAATATCTTGTGTTGTTTTGGAAACCATGGGGACTTCCCTGATTAATAATTCATAGGGAGGTATCCTCTGTCTTGTTCTGTGATTTTCATTTAATAGCTCATGTTTTCTGTGAATAATCTTGTCCATTCATGTAGAGGAATTGCACTGAAACTCTTTTTTTAGTAATTTAAGCTATCTTTTGAAATTATCTGAGTAAATAGTTTGTGTCATAAGACATTTTAATACAGTCTTACTATTTGTTAGCCAACCTATTTCTCCTTTTTCTCCCTCCATCCCATTGCTTCTGTCCTGGCTTAATATTTGAACTCCCAGTTTTTAAATAGTCATGCTCTAAAAATACCTTCTAAATATTTGTGTTGTTACCTTAGACTGATCACAGTCTTGCTCAGAGAAACTTCTTTATGTAGTAACAGCAGTTAATGAAGAGTCATATAACTGACCAAAATACTGAAAAGAAGAAACTGAGTACTTGGCCCTAAGCAGGACATCTATATCATCACTAGCTCCATCCTAGCCAACAAAACTCAGGTAACATATTGAAACGAGAATTGGAAAGAATGTCTTAGCCAAAGTAAGCTTTCTTCTGAACAAGATTGCCCTCATGAACTCACAGTAGCTGTGGTTACCTACACAAGACCTACACAAGATCAAGCTACACAAAATTCTGGAGTAGATGGTGTATATGATCTTCAGGTCTCACCCCGCAATGGGAAGATATTGGCAGTTGATAGTTGCTGTGGTAGGGAGAATCATTCTCTTTTGAAGATATGCCCAGTGATAGAATTCCCATGCCCTAGTGGATGGCCCCACACACGCACATGTGAACAGCACCCATGCACATGTGACCTATTGAAGGAGTTATGGGGGACATGTATAGAGGAAACAAAGTCAATATAATCATATTTCATTGTGTACTTGCTTAAAATTTTCAAGTATAAAGGAAAAATTTCAAAAATGATACGAGATTTAGAATACTGTTTAAATTTTTTATGCTAGATGACAAACCTGGTAGATTACTAAGTCTTAATAGCCCTTAATAAGCCTTTCTTTATTCCTTACAATTTAGAAATCTTAGTTAGTTTTGTGTACACCTATTCATGGAAATAGTAAATTGCTAAATTCACAGAGAGAGAAAGCATCAACATCTTGTTAAGACCCTATTTCCCAGGAAAGGTACCTTACTCATTAATTCATTCATTGGAAAATGCCACTTGGAAGTGCAAGGAAAGATAAAAGTTCCTCTAAATGAAGTCAAAAGAATGATGATGCCTCTCAATATATTGTACTCAAATTAGTTTTGGAACTTTCCTGACTTTCTCCCTCATTTTTAAAAAATTTTGTTTATTATTTTTATTTCATGTGTATGTGTGGATTGCCTGCATGTAGGTAAGTGCACCTGTGTCGTGTAATGCTAACGGAGGTCAGAAGAGGCTTTCGGATCCCCTGGGACTGGAGTTATGGACAACTGTTAGCTGCCATGTGGGTTCTGGGATTCGAACCCAGGTCTTCTGCAAGAACAACCACTATTCTTAACTGCTGAGACATCTCCCCAGCTCCTCTCCTTCATTTTTTTACAACCATCAGTTATACAGATATTGCCTGTACTTTGCCTCTCACGAAGTAGCCACCATAAAAATTATTGCTCTTAATTAATAAAGGAGTAGATTAATCAACACAATGTTGAATATAGCCAGGAATTTTAACATTATTTTAACTGAACACTGCCCTTTTGTTTTGGACAATTTTACTTTTTCACTAAAGCTTTTGGCATATTCTATCTACTCAATGCCTCTGAACATTATTAAATTCATATAGAGTTTGTTTAACTTTAGATATTTTGTTACAGTAGCCCTTTCTGTCATCATAATCTGTCATATATTTTATCATTGTACCTTTGAAATGTTAAATTGATTTAATTTGAATGTCATATGTTAGAATTTTGATACTGGCTTTGTTTATATTTTAGCCTTAATGATTACAAGTAAATTTTTCAGATAACTTGTCACATATTTGTGAAACCTTTGATTAAATATTTTCTTGTTTTTTAATAACATTTTATGTATCATTTAGTTTAAATTACTTTATTCCATTTTTATTCAAATGGTAAATGATTTAAGTGTATATGTTATATGCTTCAACATATGCAAATCTTCTTTTAAAATCAGTTTGTGTAAGTAGTATGTTCATGAATTTTCTTGCTAATCCAAAGAGTATCATTGTTTAAAGAGAAGGATGAATGCATAGCTAAAGTATCCGATATTTAACAACAATATTTGGAAATCATATTTCTATAATAGACAAAATCAATCACTGAGCAATAATTATCTGTGAAATGACTCAGAAAAGGTATGAATCATAAATGATATTTACTCATAAAGAATGTAATGAAATTTCACGGATAAAATGCTCAAGAAATTTTAGACAGAGCAATAAGATGCTGTGTATTGTACTCATAAATATTCTATCTTCTCGATAATAGACATAAGAATATATAAAGACTTTGCTCCAATAATACATTTATATTTTATTATTTGACAGTAATGGGAATTGAGCCAATATTTCATGAATACTAGGCAAGTGCACTTGCCAAGTCACACTTTAAGTCTTTATCAGTGTATTTTATAACAGCTTTGAATGCTTATTCCTGTTTGAAATTTTGAGTGCTATTTGAAACTAGCTGCTCCATTTTATAAATTCAGAAATTCAAGATTGAGAAAGGACAGGTGTTAAAATACCTGAGGATAGTACCTGTCTAAAGAGTCCAAAGTGGCCCAGCCTTGTGGTACATACCTTTAACTCAAGTGCTCGAGAGGTTATGGCAGGCAGATTTCTTTGAGATTGAGACTAGTCTGGTCTGCACAGTGAGTTCCAGGCCAGTAGAGGTACAGGGACATCCAAAATCAAAAAGAGAAAAAACAAGAGTTCAGAGAATTAAAACCAATTGCCATGACAGATATCAATGCTAAAGTTATTTTTAATTCTCTGAACTCAAGGGGCCTGGAACTTGCTATGTAGACCAGGCAACTTGCTATGTTGCCTTGAACTCACAGAGATCTGCCTGCTTCTGCCTCCTGAGTGTTGGGACTAAAGGCATGCACCACCACACCAGCTTTGTATTAGTTACTTTTCTGTTGCTGTAATAAACACTTTGACCAAAGGCAATTTAGAGAAGAAAAGGCTTATTTTGTCTTATATTTCCAGAGGAACAGAGTCTTCACAGTGGAAAAGGAGAGTCATGGAGGCAGGAGCAGGAAGCAGAAGGATCACATTTAATTTGAACACAGGATCAGTTGAGAGAGCTCACGAGAGCAAGCATGAGAGCAAGAGCCAGGAGAGAGAGAGAACAGGAGGTGGTACTATGATACAAATCCTCAAAGCCCACTCCTAGTGCTTCCTCCAGCAAGATTCCCCCTCCTAACTTCCATTATCTTCCCCAAAAGCACTCACCACAGGGACCAATGTTCATATATATAAGCCTATAAGGGACATTTCTTATTCAAAACACTATATTCTTCATGATTTTTTTTTCAGTCCCGAATGGTTGAATAGTATTATTAGTTAAATTTATAGACACATCTCATAAAATGAAAAACATAATTCCGTAGACTATTTTGGTAGTATCTTTTCCTACTTATCTGATGGAGAAATTATTTTCTTTCATCTCTATCATTAGACAGATAGTTGCAATACAAGCTTTATAAGTATTAACAATTGTTGGGTCATGGTTTTTCCACTGATTCTAATATTCACTGAATTTAGAGAGAAAATTCATTCTTACCTATGAAAGAGAGGTATGTTTGGAATCATTTAAGGGTGGACTGCATTATATATTCCTAGGAATTGAAAACTGGGGATATTTTGTAAAATAATGGAATTTAGTGAGTTAACTGCTCTGGATTCTATGTTTTTGACTGTAATACTTAGAAACACAAGCCAATAGAAACCAAGTAATAATAAACAAGCAATAATATCAAGTTCTATGACTGGGAGTTGATCACCTTTCCAGAAGCTAAATTATTGATGTGTGTTTAAAAAAGAAAAGCAGAATTATGTAGGTAAAGAATTGGCCGTCTCTAACTCCACAATGTTCTTCCTGTACCAAATATAACAAAATGACTATTTTGACCAAGTTGGAGCTGTTTTCTAACATTGCCATTTGAAACTTTGTTTCCTCTTCATATTAATAGTTGGTTCCATTATTTTTCTCTTTCTTTATA